CTTTTACTGCAATTGTTATTTCCCGCTTCCCATTTTATGGGAAAGAAATTACACCTCAATGCATTATTTGGAAGCATACACAGCTCAAGATTTATTCCCAGAAAACGAGAACAAGCCACCTGAATGCTGATATGATACCAAGCCCTTTGGACTCAGTTTATCTAGCACTACAGTAGAAATACTTGCTGGGAAGTCCTGACTAGGCAAGTTGATATGTCAAGGCACCCTCAGCATGGACAATTATTGGATGAGCACTGCTGGTTTCCTCTTTGATTTAGCTTGGTTTTTGATCTTGTAGTTGATCTCTTTTTTCTGTATACATATCAGTGCCTTTAGGCAGGGTACTAACAAGCCATACCACAAGAATATTTAATGTAGGGTCATGGACTTCCCTGCTATGGTTGGGCTGTAGGAGGAAACTCTGAAATGCACATGCCATCCTTTCTGGAGAAAGAGCCACTGTTCAAAGATCATTAGGAAGGTGGGGAGGGGGGTAGTGCGTATTTTTGTTTTACTCTATTGTACATACGTATTTTAGTCTCTGTAAATCACCTTGGCTTTTTATCTGATAGAATCTTAATATTGTTGTTGCAGTTTCTATATTTTTTCCTTTAATTATAGATATTAGGATTTGGGACATTTGTTCTTAATATTCTTTTGTCTGTTTTAGTTTGATATGTAGCAGTTTTAGTATTTGAGGGCAAAGCAATCCCCCCACCCCCCCACCCTCGGTCGTGGGCTTGACTCTGGGCTTGGGTGCTTCCCTGCGCTCTTCAGCCACAGCACCACTTCCAGTTTTCTAGTGGTTTATTGGAGATAAGAGTCTCATGGACTTTCCTGCCTGGGCTGGCTTTGAACCGTGGTCCTCAGATCTCAGCCTCCTGAATAGCTAGGATTACAGGCGTGAGCCACTGGCACCCAGCAGGACAAAGCAATTTATTGTTCTTTTTCCTTTGCTGTTTTTTTTAATCCCTCCAGTGCTAAAATGTTACCCACAATGCAGAAGTATTATATATTCTCAGTTCTATTTTTGTTATTCTGTAGTCTGATAGATATGTATACGGATACATATAAATTTTTATATATATATGTATATATATATATATTCTTACAACTTTATTGCTGTGTAGAGCTTGGTCTAATGAAAATTTTATATTTATGCTTAATAAATGAGGCCTGTATGGCAAATCCAATGCAAAATGCAAGTACAGATCAGTATTGCTATTATTAAAGTTCTTTTGAAATATTTGACTTCGTTGCTAACCTACCGTGTGAAAAGCTCGTCAGGTTAAGTACCCTACAAATGTGCTGTATCTAATAAACCTTCCTCCGTGACTTAAGAGAGTCTCATTCTATATACGTTCTACATTCTATATGTATAGAATATGGCCAACTATAAATGCTGTTACTAGTTTTAAGTGTTGTCATAGGAAAAAAGAACCATAATTTACCATCAGTAGTAGTAATGTTATCAACTACATGAAATTTTTTAAGTATTACTAGCAAGAGTTACTCTTTTCCATACTATTTTTATCTTTTTATGTAGTGTTTGGCCTTACCTGCTGTTAGTAATTGTCTTGTATAGTTAAAGTATACACACTTAAAAATAGAAAATGCATAAAGGTGTATGTTATTTAGATGAAAAACGTAGTGGTTCCAGCATCTGTACATTTTCATAGTTAAAGACATTTTTAAGTTGTGTAAAATACAGTTTCATATAATTTAATATGCATAAAGAATCACTTAAAAATAAACATTCATTTCATGGCCCAGCTAGTTTTATACCTTACATGATTAAAATATATATAGACTAACAACTTTTTCTAAAGCATGATTTTCATTAAATTCATTGCTAATTTTTAAGGCTGTTATGTAGATACAACTTTACAAGTTGATGGAGATTGCAGTTTACTACCATATGTCTTCTGTAGACAAAACAGATACCTGTTTATGAGGTAACCTGGAGAATCTGAGAATTGATTTCCTTTGGAAATGAGTCATTTCAAAATACTAGGGAGAGTAAATTCAGCATTGTTGGATGGTGACTTTTAAAGGCAATTTCACACATGTCAGGCTGCTAGGGGAAACTTCACACTGGCAGCACTCAAGTGTTAATAGAACTGTTTCAGATCCCCTAGGGGCAAAAGGGTTGTAGTCATAACAATACCCTAATAGTTTTGAAGTGTGATACAAATGAGTTTGAGATTTCATGGAAGATAAGAATGCTGAGTAAGATTATTGAATAAAATAATATTCAGATACTCTCAATAAATATTTGTTGAATTTAATCTAACATCTAGATTCTGTGTGGGGCTCAATGCTTTGAATCCATATTACCTTGATTCATAAGATCAATAAACTGAATTGAAGTTAATCTTTGGTTCCTAGGATTGTTTAGACTTAAGTATTTCCTAGCACCTTTTATAGATACGTCTGTTTAGCCTCTTTCATGAGGTGTCTTATTCTGTCTTCCTTTTTTTTTTTTTGCCAGTCCTGGGGGTTGAACTCAGGGCCTGGGCACTGTCCCTGAGCCTCTCTCTGCTCAAGGCTAGGGCTTTACCACTTGAGCCATATTGCCGCTTCTGGCTTTTTCTGCTTAAGTGGTACTGAGGAATTGAACCCAGGGCTTCATGAATGCTAGGCAAGCACTCTACCTCTAAGCCACATTCCCAACCCCTATCTTCCTGTTAAGAATTGATTTTTCCTAAGATTCTGTCCTAGACTTTGCATGCTGGATGTTGTAGATCATTGTCCCTCCCTGCTATCTGTCTTCTATGATGATTGTTCTCAACTTTCAACATAATGCACTTGGGTACTTACATAATATCTGGATATCCCATCTAGTCCCTGATGTGTGCAGTACAAAGTTCATTTCTCTGTTTATTTCTATATCCATACCTTGTGCATCTGTGTACATGTATAACACATACAGATATCTATCATATGTGCTCTCCTGTTTTGGAAAGCACGCTGTTAGTAGGTAGCAGCCCAGGACTTGCAATTCAAGTCTTCTGGATGTGAATACTCACCTCAAAGTGTACTCTTTCAATACAGCATGATAACCAAATCTTCTGAACCAAAATTTACAATATGTATTCTGACATTATTTGAGGCCTGACCTTGTAATTATGCTGTTATTGTTGTTTCATGATGCTTATTAAATTGTCAGAATTATAGGATGGAGGCAGGGATAATATAAAATCACAGGATAAATATAGTGAGATATATGCAATATAAGATACACATATAGAGGCTGAGAAGGTGGCTCTGTGGTAAAGCGCTTACCTTGCATGCATAAGGCCCTGGTTCAGTTCCTCAGCACCACATAAGCAGAAAAAGCTGGAAGTGGTGCTGTGGATCAAGTGGTGGAATGCTAGCTTTGAGCTGAAGAGCTGAGGGACAGCGCCCAGGCCCAGAGTTCAGGCCCCATGACCAACAACAACAAAAAAAAAGATAACACATATATTAAAATGATCTAGATTAATCAGGGAGATAATTTCCTGGGAGGTGGTAATTGAATTATAACATGTATGTTGAGGAGTTAAAGGACTTAGATTAGGGGAGAAGGAAAAGTGCCCAAGGCAAATAAGAAATCTTATACAAAGATATGAGATACAACTACCTTGCCCACAGAAATGTACAGTCTGAATAGAGTACTTTCCTTTATTGTTTCCTTCCTTCTACTCCTTTCTCCCTTTCTTGCTTCCTTATTCCAAATACACCACACACACACACACACACACACACACACACACACACACCTGAAAAAAATTGAAGTTGATGCTTACATTAAATACAAAATAGTAAAAAGCAAAATATAACTGCTTTTGGAATGACTTAATAGGTAGTAATTGAGATTAGAGGAGACAAGAGTATTAATATGTTCATTTCTTAAATGAATATAACTAGAACTTAACTATAATGTAGTACTCTTTAGACACCTAAAGTCATAATAGTATTTATAATTGTTGTTCTTACAAATTTTGATAAACCAGAGGTAACTAGATTCTATATAATGCATTTAAAAATTTTTGCTTACATTAGAAGTGATTTCTTTTCAGTGCATTTTTACTGTGAAGTTCATTTTTCATGTAGTCTGTCCTTGTGTGTTTGAGAATTAAATCAAGATGTAGAAATTCTATTAGAATGAAAAATGGCTTTATTTTTGTTGTTGTTGCATTTGAACTCAGGGCTTCGTGCCTGTTGGACTGTCACTGTACCATGAATCCAGGCCTTCCATCCTGTTTCTTCACTGGTTGTTTTTAAGATAGACTCTCATAGTCCACATACATTAAAAATCCCATACTGGCCTATGCCAGTACATTCTGCTTTACTCTGTGGAGATGGCATCCCATGGACTTTTCTGTTTGGGCTGGCCTGGAATCATGAGCCTCCTAAATTTCATTCTCCCACATAGCTTTGGATGATAGGTGTACATTACCCCACAACCAGCCATTGACTGACACGGGGGGGGGGGGGGGGGGGATGAGGGGGGGAGGAAGGGGGCAGGGGGGAGGGTGTCTTGTTAACTTTTCTCCTCAGGCTGGCACCTTGAGCTTTGACCTTCCTCAAATTCTAGATTCTAGATGTAGATTATAGACATGAGCCACTGGTTCCCAAATTAAAATGACTCTTGAACTTCACTGAAGTATTCTCTTTGGTCTTTGCTATTCTGTATTTAGTGACTGTTCTTTGTTCTTGATATACATTGGTTTTATTTTTCAAAAGTAATTCTGAAACTTTGGCTATCATAACATTTCTTCAACTGTTATTACCCAGTTTTTTATGTGAAGATTCTATACTGGGTTAAAAACTTTATTAGAATAAACAAGATTTATCCTCTTAAAATGTCAGCCTATTTTATTTCTCTATGGTTTGGTTCTTTGCTTTTAGTTCTTGTTTTCTTTGTTTTTGTTCTTCTTATTACTATAATCCAAAGTTCAGCAGTCTACTTCTTATGATGTCATTTAAAAACTTAAGTCATGTCTCTTTCTTTACAGAACGGGCAATTGCAAGACATGAAGTCCGAGAAATTGAGCAGCGACATACAATGGATGGACCTCGACAAGATATAGTGTTAGATGAAGAAGATGACATGGTGATCATTTATAACAGAGTTCCCAAAACCGCTAGCACCTCATTTACCAATATCGCATATGACCTGTGTGCAAAGAATAAATACCATGTTCTTCACATCAACACTACAAAAAATAATCCAGTGATGTCATTGCAAGATCAGGTAATCAGTCATCATCATTTAGGGAATGTTGGATGTTTTCTCATAGTTGGTCAGGTTTTGTATCTCCAAGGATATGTGTGCTGACCCTAATCAATTGTCAGCCTCTTAGAGGAAAGGACCCATCAACTTTTGTATAATTTTATAGGCTTTATGGTATTTGATAAATTTTCTTTTTGTTGTTGTTGTTGTTTTTGTTGGTCATGGGGCCTGAACTCTGGGCCTGGGCTCTGTCCCTCAGCTCTTCAGCTCAAGTCTAGTGCTCTACCACTTGAGCCACAGCACCACTTCCGGCTTTTTCTGCTTATGTGGTGCTGAGGTATCGAACCCAGGGCCCCATGCATGCAAGACAAGCACCCTACCACTGAGCCACCTTCCCAGCCCTGATAAATTTTCTTGCATGTAGTAAGTATATAGTTAAATACTTGTGATGTAAAGGAATTAATTATTAACTTTCACCTTTGCAGAAACATAGATGTTCTGAAATATGAAATATTTTGGCAAGATGCCCTACAATGAAAACTTACCTGTATGGCTTCAAATTAGTATAAAGAACTATTATTGAATACTTGTACTCAACTTGTACTCAATTTTGTGATTAGCTTCCTAAATCTCATGTCTTTATATGAATACTAACTTTAGCCTCCTGGAGAATAAAGAGGGTGGCTTATATCTTTAATATAATCTTGTCTTTTAAATCATCAAGGAATTTTAGATAAACAGATGGATGCATAAACTGTATGAAGTAGTTTGGAAACAAATAGAAGAAATGATTTTAGGCATCTAGTTTACTTATCTCGGTAGTAGCAATAGCATACACGCCCCTCCCTGGAGTTCTAACCATAATTATAAATAAGTTTTCTCAATAAATGTCAGAAGGAATGGGAAATTGATCCCATAAAAGGGAAGTAGTTTAAAGTACTATTTAGGATTAAATGCCATATTTAAGTAGTCTTATTAGGAAGATATATGTGGTGTATATTTAGGTGGGTATTTATCAGCTTGAAAGCAGCTGACCTTGTTTTATTGTTACAAAATTGACTCTTTCTGACTGTTAAGCATAGCTATACTCCCTACACTGAAGCAAGAGAATAACATTGATATCTGAGGTTAAGGTTGGTTCTTGCTAGGAGCTATTTTTGAAGGCAAGTGGTATATGGCATATCATCTGCCATATAATTTTGGGCTTTCTGAAAGAACCACCATTAAATTTTTTTTGTAGAACCAAAAATATACATCTGTCAGCCAAACTAAATAATTCTGTAAATTAGAAAAAAAATAGATGAGCTTTTTGTTATTGTTCAGCTAAATGGGTCATAAAAAAAACTAGTCATGGGCTGGGAAGGTGGCTGAGTGGTAGAGTGCTTGCTTTGCATGCGTGAGGCCCTGGGTTCGATTCCTCAGCGCCACATAAGCAAAAAGAAAAAAGCTGGAAGTGGCGCTGTGGCTCAAGTGGTAGAGTGCTAGCCTTGAGCTGAAGAGCTGAGGGACAGCGCCCAGGCCCAGAGTTCAGGCCCCACGACTGGACCCAAAAAAAAAAAAAAAAAAAAAAAAAACTAGTCATTATTCAACAGTGTGTATCTAAAGGGCACACATTCTAAATACTGTTTTGTACAATATGCAGTAGGTTTTAAATTTGCTAACATTACTGTTCACATATATTCAGAGTATATCTTAGTTTAAAAGGAATATATCTTAATGCTCACATAATAATTTGATTTCCTCAGCAATATTTTTAGAAGAATAAGATTAACCTGTTTGTTTAATTTTAAAGTTATTTTTTATCCAACCTTACAAAGCTTTCTAGCAGCTACAAGATGATGCCAACCATTTTTTCATGAAATCTGTAGAAGCATACCACATATAACATTTATAGGCATCACATAGTACATTTTCCTTGTTGCATTTGGATGAGATAAAACTTCATTTTTTCTTTCATTGGCTGGTGAGTTTCATGTAGGAAAGAAGAGAAGCATAAATGCCACCTTTAAAGCATTGGATATATATAATGAGCAACACTGAAAACATACTTGTATAGAGCAGAGTAAAGGAGTAGTCTTTATCATGAACTGCCATACTCCCAAATGTCAGCCAGCAGTTCAAAACCTGGTCTTAATTAGGAATTTCTTACATAATAAATATTCTCCAATGTGTTCTCTGTGTACAATTCACTGGTCTCTTGTTTTACACCACAGCAGTTTTTCAAAACAAGTCATATTTAATGTTTCCCTTTCTTCTTTAGGAGAGGGAAATTTCATCTATATGTAAACTTTTAAAAATTGTACCATACTTCACTGAAAATATTTTTCAAATATCCCCGAGACCCAGCTTATGTACTGTGCTTTTATTCTAACACCATGTTTTTCTTGTGCCCTGCACTATGCTCAGCTGATTACATAGGGATCAAATGATCAATTTTGCTTTTTGTTTTCTTCTCTTATACTTTCTGATTCATATCTGATTCACATGACACTTAAGAGAGAAGAAACAAATCTACCGTTCTACTCTATTCAAATCCTGACATGTCAACCGTAGCAGTTCATCCTGCTCCACATTTGCTTTTAGCCCCAGCTTTTTGCTAGACATAATTTGTACAAACTATACTAGATTGTACAAAACTGCTTAGTTTTCTCAAATGTTTACAGGCAAGCCTGGCACCAGTGTCTCATTCCTATAATTGTAGCTACTCATAAGGCTGAGATCTAAGGATCACAGTTTGAAACCAGCCCAGGGAGGAAAGTCTGTAAGACTCCCATCTAAACTTAACCAGCAGAAAGCTGGAAGTAAAGCTGTGGCTCAGAGTACTAACTTTGAACAAAATAAGCGCAGGCCCTGTGTTCTAGCCCCAGGGGGCACGCATACTGGCACACGCACATGCACACACACACACACACACACACACACACACACACACACACACACACACACACACACACACACACACACACACACACACACACACACACAGAGTTTAGAGGCAAAGTCCAAATATCTTTAATTGGCTATAAAAAAACTATTCAGTATAATAATAACAATGCCATCTTTAAAAATACTTGTCAACTTTGCTGTCAAGGTTTTTCTTTGTTTATTGAATATATAACATATACAGAGGTGGTATTGCATTCTTTGCAGAAATACAGAAGAAATAAAGAGCTTATTTATATTAGAACCTAAAACACATGTAAGGAACTGCAAGGACAATTAAAAGAAAACATTCATTTATGGTAATCTCACTAAAATATTTAACAAAAATTGTTTCTAACCAGAATGTTTTTCTGCACCTAATCCTAAGGAAACAAAAAAATTCATATGGTAGAACATTCTCTAGAGCAATGATTGTTGTTTCTGCTAAAGTATCAGTGTTAGAATAATCAAAAACAGGGAGAAGAGGAGGGCTCAGGTGGTAGAGTATATCAGCTACCTAGTAAATGTGAGGCCATAAATTTAAATTACCGCCAGAAAAAAGTCATTCAGCTTTTCTAGTTGAAGATAGAGTTTGCTCCACCATCATGGAAGTTCCTTTACCTTAGATAACATTTTGTTATTAAAATCACTATGCCAAATAGATATGACTAGTAACATCTTTTATAGCCTTTTAAATTTTCTGTTAAAACATAACTAGGCTTTTCCTCCACATAGGATGACATAATATTATGTGTATATTACATATTACTTTAGACAACACTTGAGATGAGTTGCTCTGAGGTCCTGGATGGAGTTAATAATTGAATTTTTTTTAAAGCTTCCACTTGGTGCCAAACTAATGCTATTGGTCCTTAAACAACAGTTTGAGTAGCAGTGATCTAGGGTACGAGTCTTAATGACAATATGCAAAAATGATCATTTTAGGGGCTGGGAAGGTGGCTCAGTGGTAGAGCGCTTGCCTTGCATGCCAGAGGCCCTGGGTTCGATTCCTCAGCACCACATAAGCAAAAAGAAAAAAGCCGGAAGTGGCGCTGTGGCTCAAGTGGTAGAGCACTAGCCTTGAGCTGAAGAGCTGAGGGACAGCGCCCAGGCCCAGAGTTCAGGCCCACGACCGGACCCCAAAAAAAAAAATGAACATTTTAGTCTCAGGAAAATTTACTCATATCCCTACTTCCTTTACAAAATCCTTACCTAGGCTGACAGGCACTTTTGAATCCATCCCTCATCACACTTGCCTTTCAGTTCACTGAATATATCTCAAGGCTTCTGCACTTAGAATAATACTTCTCCTAGTTTCTCCTTTAGTTGTCTTCATGGTGTCTCTTCTGTTTCAGATTATGTGACATTATATAGTAAATACCTCTTCCAAAGTATTAGAACCATAACACTTTCTCTCCTAGCATTAATCGGTTTATAAAAGTATCTTACATATTGTTTTGATTCTGATCTGCTTTTCCACAATAATACTCCAAGCTCATTAAGGGTAGGTACTTTGTCTTTCTTGTTCACCACTACAATTCATTGTGACTGAGACATAGCAGATACTTCATACATTTTTGTTAAATAAACCATGAACGAATGAACAAATGGTTCAACTTCTATTCTGATAAAAAAAAAATAGTTTTTTAGTGAGCATGACACCATGATACAATTACTGGCAGAATGAATTCTCCTCATGTAATTGGGGTCTCCTCCTCATGCTCCTCTCTCCCAAATCCCCCCAATATGTTGAGCAACATAGCTCTAAACTTTAAAAAAAATACTTTTATCCAATTACTACAGTTTTCCATTAAGTATAGAAAACTTCCTCTCTGGTTTAGTCTCATAAAGTATTGATGGCTATCAAAGAAATGTTTACTTTAAGTAAATACACAAATAGGAGAGATATGTAATAACTACTCAATTGTAATTGTCACTCAATAGGTAGAAATTATAAAGTTGGAATTTGGCCAGGGTACTGAAGAAGATATTATTACGTTTTTAGGTAATAAAAACAAATTTGTTCATGATCACAGATCATCAGAATGCTGTTTAATCTATTAAGAATGTAGGTCTAGAGCTGGGAAGGTGGCTCAGTGGTAGAGTGCTTGCCTTGCATGCATGAGGCCCTGGGCTCAATTCCTCAGCACCACATACACTGAAAAAAAAAAAAAGCCAGAAGTGGCACTGTGGCTTAAGTGGTAGGACGCTAGCCTTGAAGTGGAGAGCTGAGGGAAAGCGCCCAGGCCCAGAGTTCAGACCCCACAACCGGACCCCCTTCTCCCCCCCAAAATATGTAGGTCTAAATATTACTATTAGTGAGATGGTACTTTCTTAGCTTTTCCTTACAGTAATGGTTCAGGTCTGATTCAACAAGCAAATAAGTCACAACACCACTACCTAGATTTTTTTTGTATGCTCCCTGGAGGTATATTCTGATTACTTGCTATCCTGACTCCACTTGACTCATAAACTCTGACAAAAATCAGTTTAGGATGTGCTCCAGGCTAGCTATACAAGCATTTTTTTTTTCATGTACTCTGTCTAACTGCAACTTCTAAACCATCCTTGTAACATATTACAATTAGAGCATGAAAATTCTCTTTGAATCAAATCACTATGGTAGCTTTATTTCTTCTCTGTAAGCCAGTTTTCAGTCTCCCGAACTTCATTTGATACTGTTAGGTTTTGCTTCTTTTTTACCTATCTCTTTCCCCTTCATTAATGACAAAGGAAGTCAGTAAGAATCCATAAGGTCAGGGGAAATTTGCTCACCTAATCTCCATTTCCTCTTCCTACTCCTCTACTTCCCAGAGCCTTGTAGTGAAGGTCTTGGCACAATGCCCTCATACAGAGGAATACAGGAAGAAAACAACCTGAAAGACAAAAGTAAGTGATGCAGTACATGGAGGAGGGTCTAGGACTAGATTGTTGAAAGGGGAAAATGGAGGTGAAACAGTGGAGAGTGTGAAATTTTTAGAGAATTAAAAGGATAAATAGCTGGGCACTGGTGGCTCACGCCTGTAATCCTAGCTACTCAGGAAGCTGAGATCTGAAGATTGTGGTTCAAACCAGCTTGGATAGGAAAGTCGGTGAGACTCTTATCTCCAGTTAACCACCAGAAAACCAGAAATGGCACTGTGGCTCAGAGTTGGTAGAGTGCTAGCCTAGAGCAAAAGAGCTCAAGGACATACCCAGACCAATGATCAACAATAACAACAATAACAAAAGAATAAATATTAGATAATCATGTATAACATTATTATATATAATAAATTAATACTTGGTAGAACATACATTTTTGAAATGTTATTTTTCAAAAGAGGCTGCTTATCATTATTTGGAGAACATTTAAGAAAATGGAATGGAATTTCCCTGGTATGTAAATGGTACTTCCCAGATTAGTGTGAATCACCACTTTACTATATTGACACCATTTGTTTAGTACTTTCTTTCTTCACCATGAAGAAAGATAAACTTCAGCCAGCATCTTTTAATTTGTTGCAAATTGTAATTCAGTCACTTTATTAATGAGACCTTCACACTTTCTTAGTTACTTGTTGATGAGATGGAAGAACAAAATATATATGTATATGTCTTGAATATCAGTGTAGATTGGATCTTAACTGTGCTCTACAGGCCAGTGTGCTGGAAGCTTTGTCTCCAGGGAGGTACTGTTGAGAACTGCAAGAAGCTTTAAGAAATTGACCTAATGTGTCCTTGATGAGCATTTGGAACTGGTCCCTTTTCTTTCCTTTTTCCTCCTATGTTCTCTGGTGACGAAGCTAACTGGTTTGCTGTGGCACACACTCCTGTTATCATGTGCTACCTGGACACAGGCCCCAAAATAATGGCGCTGTTGATCAGTGATAGAGTTGAGAGAATTCGAAAGTAATAATTCACTTGAATTTGTCTCAGATGTTATGCATTGAGGAAATAAAGCTCAGTGTCTTACATATATATACTTACACTTGCTCTCTTGGTTCTAATTAGTCTACTCAGCAACCTCTAACTAGGTCAAGGATCATTGTTGGAATGGTTGTCCATGGCCAGAAGGGGGCAGTGATCAGAGTGGATTGGAAGTTGAGGTCAGATCAGGGTGATGAGTAAATTCACAAAGAAAGAAACAAGAGAGTAAGGTCAAGAAAGTAGGAGATTTCGGAGGTGGATGGTTTACTTAAGGTATGTGCTTATTTTGGGGTTCTGTTTCTTTATCTATAAAATAAGCTGTATAACTTAGCCTTGGTCCCTTTCATCATATATTGTGACAGTTTATGACATTATCCAAAGTGTGGGGCGGGGGGGGGAGGAGTGAACTGTTGAATTTCAGTATGTCTTTAGTATAGGGGTAGCTTTGCTCAAGAGCATCTGCAGACCCCAGGCCTTTTTTGAAAAGATCACAGAAACGAGCTAGCCCCTGTGCCCATACCTGCTGAAGCCTGGCTCCTCAGTATGGTGTATGGACTCACAGCGTGCCATCCTCTGAGGCCTTGTTGGAATTAGGGTTTCAGGCTTTATGCTAGACAGCTGCATCACAATCTGCATTTGAAGGATCCTAGTTTATTTGAACATTCAAATTTGAGAAGGGCTCATTGCCTGTAATCCTGGCTACCCAGGTTGCTGAGATCTGAGGACTGCAGTTTGAAGCCAGCCTGTGCAGGAAAGTCTGTGAAAAAGCCAGAAGTAGAGCTATGGCTCAAGTGGCAGAGCACCAACCTTGAATGAAAAGCTAAGGGACAGTGTCTAGGCCCTGGGTTCAAGCCTCATTACTAGCACACAAATTAGGTAGGTAGACAGACAAACCTAGACAGGCAGAGAGATGAATCTGTAGCAGTCTAGGTATTCACATCTTCCTGAGTTCTTCACCTTACATTGAAGGACAAACATTAGTGAAAAGCCATTCATCTTCAGGATGGTTTGGTTTTAATATTGACCATCCTTAGGAAGGTTGGGGGACAGTTTATACCTGACTCTCATTTTTGCCAGTTTTTTACCACAGTAGATTCTGCATGTGCACTGTGGTCTTCCCTAACATGTGGCTTACACAGCAACAGTTTCTCAAATATATATTTAGTTTTTCCTTATTCTTCCCTCATACCCCACCACATTCAATATCCACATTAAATCTCAGCTTCTAGAAAACACCTGAATTGCTATGTCTTAAAATGCCTTTAATCTCACCCTTGTTCTCTTTGCTTTCTATTTCCCTCTTATTTTTGACTGAAATGCTGGAGTTTCTATAGAACCTAAGGCTTATATAAAGCCATTGACCTTTAAGTAGCAGTTATGAGGACTTTTCATGTTCAACAGGGAGATGGTTTTAAAGATGCAGATTTTGGATTACTTATTTTCTGTTTTGATTTGCCATTTCATAACTCCATTCTGTCTGGTGCCTCATACAAAAAAAGTGATTAAGAAAGAACATGAGAATGTCCAATCACACATTTATATGCAGCCCTTACCATTTATCTTACTTTCTCTCATTTGCATATCATTGTATGCTTCCCATTAAAAGCAAATTCTCCAAGAACCTTCTTTTTCTTTCTTTCTCCTTTTTTTTTTGCCCTTTACATTTTCTCAAACAGCATCTGCTGTTTCCCTCCCTTACCCTAGCAATAGGTCTTTTCTAGAAAGCAGTCATTTTTACTTACTATTAACTAGATGACACTAATCCATTATGAAGTGCTCTAGAATAGCTCCACATGACTAACTCTGTTCTAAAATGTAAATGAAAGGTTGAAAACTACTTAGACATATGTAATTGAGAAAACTATCACAGTTTACACCTGCTATCAGTATAATGTAGAGTGGTGGGTCTTACCATCCCCACTCCCTGTACTGGATCTAGTATCCAGAAGAGATTCCTCACCATCTGCTGTGTATCATGCAGGGATTTACCCACAGAAATCCTCTCTATTCCATATCCTTTGAGAAACTATGTGTTGTTGCTTGCTGACTGGCAGTATTTACATTTATCAACTTCTATATTAACCAGTTCTTTGAAAATAATTAAGATAAGGATGGAGTCGTGGTCCAATATGGTAGAGCACTTGTCTAGCAAGCAGAAGGCCCTGGGTTCAAACCTCAATACTACAAAAGGGAAAAAAAAAGAAAGCTATATCTTTCTGCTACTGACAATTTGTATGCATTCAATTTCAGCAAATTAGGAAGTATTTAGTTACTGCTTAATTTTTTATTTTGAACTATATCTAACTTTATTAGTTTTATTAGTAAGATTATGATATCTGGTCTTAACTCTACTGATAGCCCTCTTTAATCATTTTGGTGGTAATACTGGTTTGTATTGATTGAATTGAATAATAATGAATTTTTTAACCATTTCTTTTTTTCTTGTTATCATTAAGGAGTTGTAAAAAGGAATTACAATTCCTTAAGTACAGTCCTTCTTGGACAATATCACCCTTTCCTTCACTTTGTCCTATTTTCTCTCTCCCATATGTATAGTTCATTTTTTCCATAGTGTATATTGAATACCATGACTGCATTTGTGCATCCTTCTTCCTTCCATTCCTGTTACCCTTCCTTTTTGCTCCACTAAGCAGACAAAAACACCACCAACAATACAACAAGAAATGAGTTTTTGACTACCTTGCTTCTGAGAAGAAAACCTTTCCTACTTAGAATGTCCCGTGTGTGTGTGTGTGTGTGTGTGTGTGTGTGTGTGTGTGTGTGTGTGTGTGTGTGTGTGTGTGCGTGTGCGTGTGTGTGTGTGTGTGTGTGTGTGTGTTAGGAGGTAAATATATACCACCCCTATTCTTCTTCCATCCATGTCACTGCACTTACTTGGCAGTGCTATAATTGGCTGCATTGTGCACTTTGATTTTCAAAGTTGTTATTTT